ATGGATGTTGCAGTTCAGCCAGGCCATTAGTTTATCAATCACGGCACTTGGTATAAGAGAGATCTGATGGTCTTAATGTGAGCACAGTCTTGCCTCTGTGGTTTGCCCTGCTAGAAATAGAGGATTGCAACCTGATCCAAAAGATTGGTTTCTGGGTGTCATATTCTCCTGTTTTCCAGCCTGAGTCCAGTTTACTGTTTGTTTCCATTATTCTCAGCCACCATGCCCAACCTAGCTTCCACCAGTTACATTTCACCATCCCCAATCAGAGGAACCCCTTGGCTCATAGACATCTGAAAGGAAAGGATGTTAGCAAGATTCTAATCATTATTATTTTACAAAATATTGTCTTGCCCTAGTCAGTGTCTTGACATGATCCATCTTTCTCCTTTTCAAATTTTTTGTCCTCAGTAAGATGCAGATTGACAGATGTCAACATTTCTTTGGGGTGAAAGTAAAACATTCATTCTCAAAACAGGGAAGATCCTTGCCTGATGAAATGAAATTAGTTCAAATTCAAAACTACTATTTCAAAAGGTGAGTCAGAAAAGTATCCCATTCAGGAATCTCAAATTTTCATTGATTTCAATGGATGCTGCTTCCACCTAAGTATGATAACCCTTATATTTAAGTCACCAGAGGAGGGGGAAATGGCTATCCTGCTGGCTTCAATATTTCATTCTAAAAGAATTAAATTTCTCATCCAAAAAATGCAAACCGCTTGGTCTGTGATGGGCCATAAAGAATGGAATTCAGGCTCAGCTCAAGTCCTGTTGAAATCAGTAGGTCTCGAGCTAAGTTATGGCTATCTATGGATTCAGTCCATAAATTCCTCTGGATCTGTTCCACATAAACTAGCATGTATTGCTATGTCTGTATTTGGTAACTCACCAAATAATCCACTATCAGCAGCCATTCATAGTGCAATAAGGTGGCCTAATATTCATGAAATTACAAAAACTGGTCAGAGCACTGATGCTAAGATGCTGTGATTCCATAAAATAATACCAATCAGCCCAGTCCCTCAAAACACCTACTTAGAGTCCAATGGGTTATGGTTTCGACTGAATCTGTTTAAGATTACAGTATGGCAAAAGTGTGCCAGTGTGGATGTACATTCTTGTTAGTGAAAGTCATGATTTAAAGGATTTCTTTAAAAGAAACACCACACTAATCCTACCATATCTATGCAAATCTCATGCATATCCTGTGCAGTCCAATTTTGTAAGAAGATGCCTATTTTGTAAGAAGAGGATTTTGCTAAAGTCAGACACTGGGGCTTCAAAGTTATTCCCTGCTTGACTCTTATTGCCAGCACATAGCACACCAGTTGGTTCTAAAGTCCCTGGAAAGCAGAAGAGAATCTCAAAGAAGTATAGCCATGCTGTGGATATGATTAAACGGCAGAATTTCTGTTTTTCCCCTTCTTGGAGCCTTTCTGTTCCATCTCTCCACTGCCACCACTCCACACGCAATCCCCAGTGATCTCTTCTTCAAATGGCTTTGCTCCACTTTACAGGAAAGTGTATGGTGCTCCCCCAGTTGCGTCAGATCTGTGCAAACAAATGACAGCCTTTGAAGCACATAACCAGACTATATAAGGGGCAGCCCTGAATGGCTTTGCTACATTCTAGAGAGTGTCTCTTCTCTCGGGTGGACAGCAGATACCTGCACTTGATCTGAAAGGTAAGATGGGAAGATTTTTGCCAAGACTCTTTTAGGTGGGGAAAATAGAGTAGCAGTGGGTGACCAGCATCTTTACACAATTTATGTCATCAGAATTTCTCTCTAGAGTTTTGCTTAATAACAGTGCAAATGAAACCATCTGCAATGTTCAAAACTGAGGAAGACATCTTAACAAACACCTCTTAATCTTAACCAAATTGTACAAAGCTCATTCACAGCATTAATTTTGGACAACAGCATTGGATTTTTGGGGAGGGGGTGCTTGAAGTTGCTTGCTACATGTGCTGACAGACTGCTGTACTCTGAGGCTAATTTTCAGTAGTTTTTCCTATGGGAAGCTGGGATAGGAAAGACTTTTTCAACTGTGTTCTAAAATATATTGTCAGGGAACAATGGATTGCAACCTAATTTTTCTGTGCAGTGAATATCCTATGCATCTCTGCTCAAATATAAATCATCCTGCACCAAGAGTATTGTTACTCTTGAGTCTGTGGATAAAGGAAGCCTTAACTGTTTACAGTGTTTTAATTGTATCATTTGGATTTTTATCTCTGCATTACAATATTTGGATTGTAGTCTAGAAGAAACATCATCATAAATGTCTAACTTCTAAGGTTTTGGTTAATAGAAATATTGGACACAGAACAAAATGTTGGCACTTTGTTACTTTTCTTTTATCTTAAAATTAAATGCTGACCACAGGACGCACTTAATTATGATATGTCATGTACTAAGCTTGTGAAAGAGTTAAAACTTAAAGAGTTTTAAGTTCTTTCAGTAACACACAACGTATTCTTCCATTAAAACAGTTGGTCTTATATACATTTAGTTGGAGATTGAGTATATTCTGATTTATCAGATATATGCTATATTGTAGCATATGGTATAAATATATCAAAATAAGAGCTAATATTCACATTTCATTTCTTTCCCTCATACATTCAGAATAAGGTGAAATCATGATTATGTCTTAAGGGCACACCTTTTAAAGCCAAGTCTCCACTTTTCATTTCTGTTCCCCATTAACAATCAGGTTGAGCATTAAACTCAATAGGAGCTGTATTTCTCACCTTGTGATTTTCATCTGCATTTATGGATCTGAAATAAGAGCAAGAGTTTCATTTACTCCAGAGAAATTGAAATAGATTACCAAAAAAAAGTGCAATGTTCTGTTGCTGCATACTACACTGCTGAACCAGTACAGAAATACAATGTATAATCTAATGTTTATAAATTGTATGCACTGCTAAAGAACAAGCACTAAGGTACTGAAATAAACATTTCAATGTATTTTGAAAGCATGATCTTTGCAAATCTGAGTATGACCACCTTTCTTTCTTATTCCTCTTTAGCTATGTATAGTGGAATTTGCATCTGCCTGTTCCTGGCTGTGCTGTCCTCAAGCTCCTTGGGACAGCAGATATCTGGATCCCAACATGCCAATCCTGCGGTGACAGATCTTGAGCAGAGTTTGCTAGAAAATCACCGGCACACACGTATTCCAACCTCAGGGAGACCTATCCAGCTGGTAGATGGCAGCATTGATCAAAAAGCCAACCTTGGAGCTCTGTTAGCCAAATATCTCCAGCAAGCCCGAAGAGGTATATCTTTTTAATCATTTTCTGCTAGAGGCATTCATTGGTTTTAAATAAATCCCCTTCCAAAATTTCATACATGAATAGATTCAAAGTGAAGTTAGCATGACTTCATTCTACCAGACTTGTGAAAGAGCAAAGGCCAGCATTACTGATCTTCCTGACACAATGTGGCCATCCCAACACTTCTGGAGGGCACTAAGTTGGGAAAGTGTCAGAGATATTAAAGTTGCATCTTATTAGCAATCAATGCACTTACATGTCTTTTCCCAAACTGGCACCATCCAAATGTGTTGAGACAACACATACCAAAATTCCAACCCAGCATGGCAATTGAGGGTTGTCTCAAACGCATGCAGGAATCACTGATATTTCCCCAAAGCAGAAGAAGAAGAATACAAACTCCCTCTCCTCTGCCACTTATCATCATCTCAGTTTCATTCTCCCAAAGTGACTACCTTAATCATCCAGCAGTATCATTGTAAATCTCTTTGAGTAGGTACAATAAAGAAATGAGAGGTTTATGTTCAGAAGTATCTCCACATACCAGATGACAGAGAGGTTAAAAGAGAGAGATGATTGCCTTGATGCCCACAAGCATTTACAACCATTTATGGAAATTGATTACAAGGCTAGCCAAAGACAAGTGATGGGCCTACATGAAACTGTTTAGGAAGCAGTAAGTGCCACTGAATTCAATCCCCAAATACTTTCATTTTTCCAAATAGAAAAAAAAAAGTATTTCATTTTTTTTTCAAATAGGAAACAAGGAAAGCAGGCACTGGCATCTGCTACAAGTATGCACCATGACATCATCATGCAAATGGCATAGATTATGTAATTTGAATCAGATGTCATGACATGATTGAAGCAAATTATATAATTCCCATCATTTGCATGATACCATGACACATGTGTTGTTGCTTGTCTTCTGTAGGCCCCCATGTTAGTAGAGAATAACTAAGAAAAAGTAAATGAGCTAATGACAGCTAATTTCCTTCCGACAAGAAGGAAAAAAAGGAAAGAACAATCTCATTTGGGAAGTAGAGATGAAAGGAAGTAGCAGTATGTGCTAGCTCTTCTTTTTCAGATAATTCAGTCTGGAAGATGTAATTTTAGGTGTTAATACGCGTACATGAAAATGGCATAGTGAACCTCTGTGTATGTTATTTGCTTGCATCTAAATATTGATTGCACTAACAACACAACAAACATCAGTGGGAGCACAATTGTGGATCTTATTTCCACAGAGGCAACAGGATAAGCCTAACTTGTATAGGTATTTTTTGTCAAGAGAATTCTATGTCCCAGCAATCCAACTAAATGAACTTTGAGATCTATTCTAAACCATCAGCTGGATAACTTTGCTCAATTCATACAGTTTCATCAATCACCTTCTAAAGAGGAAGAGAAATAAATACCACACAGGAAATCTAAATTTAGATTCAGACCAGTTTGATAACTTGTACAAAGATATAATGAAAATGAAAAAAAAAAACCAGTAATAAAAACTGGGTGAAAATTCCTGCCTACATGTATTTGTCTATTTCTATTGAAATAGAAAGCTTCCTGAAACACATAGTCCTCTGCTCCCATTTCTTGGCTTCTCCAGCTTCTTGAAGATACTCAGTGTAAATCAGAGGCTTCTAAGGACCAAAAGCTTGGTCTTTATCCAGTCTCTCACCATGGACTTCTCTCTAACACTCTCTTCTACAAAGACAACTCTTTTTTATATAGCCAGTAGAAGGAGAGGCTGGGGGAATATGCGGTGCACATTTATAAGTGGACATTTATAATAAAATAGCTGAAATATGTCTGTATGCTTGTACTTGGGTGTTTTAAAGGCCAGTTTGGCAAAAAGTGATAAGTAAGGGAGACATTCTTCAACCTTCTCTGAATTGTTGTCCTACAGGGCTTTTAATTGCTAATTTCATTTGAATGGGTAGTTTTCTCTACAATCAATTGCTCCCCCCCCCAAAATAAATATATAATTCTTCTGGAATAAAAATTATTGAGATCCCAATACATGCATGTGTATGTAATACATAGTTTGACCCTAAATTCTTAGAGAGGCTTTTCTGATCAAGGGAGACTATAGGACTCCATAGGCCATTGATCTGGCTTTATATACAGTGAGATAGTTTATTGTACCACTTGAGGGATATCTTCCTTGGAGCAGGATGGCTCCCAGTGGGGGGAAAAGCCCACACATCCAAAACCCTAATTTAAAACAAATTGAATTAACTCTGGTTGAACTTTCTTCCAAATAAATACCTTTCCAATTGCAGGTTAAATTACACTCCAAGTTTCTTGAGGCTGTTTCACTCCTACTTCTTTACAACATCAAAAGGGGGATTATAGGAAACAAAGTAGGCGAAGGAACCAAAGTAAATGAACCACAAAGCTGTGCTCAATTTGATTCAGAGCAATCATTTCCTAATCTAGAACCCTCTTTTGCTTAGGGTGATTTTCTTCTCAGTAGCCACCTTGTGTTTCTTTAACTGGTTTGACATGTGCTAAGGTGACTGAATTCTCCTCTAGAACACATGCCAAAATCTGCATTTCAGTATCTCTATGGCAGCAAGCACTTGGTGAATCTTGGTGTCTAAATAATATAGTTGATAAAAATAGTCTTTTGATAAATTTACGTAAGATAATAATAATGTTGAATAATTAAAGGGATCACTAACATAAAAAAAAACTTCTAGCAAAGTTTGGGGTTGCTCTCTATCAGTCTCCTGAGTTCTAGCCAGCTTGGCCAGCTCTAAGGAGAAAGGGGAGTGCAATCCAACAACATCTAGAAGACTATAGGTTGTCTTTTCCCAGACTACTTCCTGAATTATCTGATTCTGACTGGGGGATGGAATCCAACATGGAACGAGGCATACAATGGCCTTTTGAAATTCTCTAATGTTTGAAGGTAAAGAAATTGGGTGAATAATATATCTGAATTTCTCCATGGGAAAAAGACGTTCTCTGTCAATTTCTCCAGGGCAGGATGGCCTTTTAGCAATCACAGCAGCTACAGAAAAACCTGATGGGAAGAGTTCCCTTATTAGCGAGCCAGGGAGGCTGGAGAGATAGCTGTACAGTGAAACATAGGTCATTCATACAGTCACACCTTTTGCCACCTCCTAGCTCATGAGAATTTCTCAGAAATTTTCTTCTCCTTTGGAAGAATTTCAAAAGCAAATGTTCATTCATAAAATTGAATTAATACTGGTAGAAAAAACTGCAGGATATTTTCTTTGCCTGGGGCTAGTTCATTCTATCTGAATGGTACCAGGCTGGAACCTTAAACAGCAGCATTCTATAGTAGAAGATTTTGCAATGTGCCTCATTTGTTACATGTGGTTTTAAAAATGCTGAGGCTCAGAGGATGTAATTCAAGGCATATTTGAGTGAATTGATTGAAATTTCAGATACAAGTGAAATTGGGTCAAAATTACTCACCGTGGATAGAAGGTAACTGGAGTGTCAGTTAAAGGTGAATAATCATTATTGGCCATATAAATTCCTAAAACCGACTCTAACATCACAATTCAAACTAAGCATATTTGTTCACAAAAAAATCCAATTACAGCCAGTGAGGCTTAATCCCTAGTTTACTGCATTTAGGATTAAAACCTAAAATATATTGATATGAAATTATTGTAATCCTGAAATTATAAACAAAATCCTCATTCAGAATTCATAAGGAAAAGAAATAGTGATCTGAGGTTTAAATCCATTTTAATTTAAAATATTAAAAATGCTCCCTAGCCATTTTGCCATGAGAACAGAAGTTTCTTTGTATACAAGATTTTATCTTATGTTTCAAAACTTACATCTGGGGTTCAAATATTTGTTTTTATTCAGTGGGAGTAATATTTCATGTCTGCATCTCATTGTCTAATAATTATATTCCAAACTCTCTCTCCATCTTCCTCTTTTTCTCAGAAGGCCACTTGCCCATAATAAAAAAGCATCAATATTTAAAAATATAGCACGTTCTACAGCAGAGTTTCTGGATACAAAGGAGCCAGAATAGAGTACTTTAGAAATCTGGTTGTTTAAAAAGCTAAAACCAATCCTTTTTTAGCCACTGAATCTTCAGAACCCTGATCTCCACATGAAGCTGTCAGCCATCATAGATAGTTTATCAATTTTACAAGTTACCCTATGTTGTAGAATGAGCAATTGTGATGTTTTATATTTTAATTTTATATACATATTCTACCTCCAAGAAAAGCAGGTTAGCCTACATTAGATGAATAACATTTCTGTCCTCACAGCAATCTTATGAGATAAATCAGCATGAAAAATGACTTTTCCCAAACAATCATAGTGAGCTCCATGCCGCTATGACTATTTTTCAGTACTGTTACACATTCAGTGCAAATCAAACCTATTTCTATTGTAAGGGTATTGTGCTTCCTTAGTGCTGCAGTATTCTACTCAGAACAGTACAAAAAAATCACTGAAGCAGCAGAGTTGAAATTTATGAACAGGTCTGCCCTGTTTTCTTCAACCTTGTCAAGGTTGAATAAGATATACATGATACAACTCCATTTGGCTAGCAGTAAACCAGGATGTCTTTATATGGGCTAGATGACCCTGAGGATCAGGATGGGCAGACTTCAATGTTGCAGAATCTGCTCTGTGTGTGTGTGTGTCAACCTGAAGCCTGAGATCAAGCCAGTAAGAGACAGTGACAAAATAATGGTTCAAGATGGTGCTATATATTTAGCCCTGAATTTTTTTATTAGTACCAGAACCAAGCTTACAAGTACAATCTCACCCAAACTGCCTTCTTGTTTTCTGCCCAATGTTATTTTTTCCAGTACCCTCCTGGCTTTTTTCTTTTCTTTTCTTTTTTGTGGATGTAGGTAGAAGTGACAAGATGATGAATTTGTCCATTGCTGCTACTATTAAGAGACTATATTCTTTAAATTATCCAGAGGGCCACCAGTGCATCTTGACTCTGCCCTTTTATCTCTGATTTTAGAGTGCATTTTGCTAATTACTTCTAATAATGTCTTACAAAAACACATCCTTCTAGCACTGTAACTATGTACATATAGCAGCTATTTTACTGTCCACTGTATATATATATATCTGCTAAAGCTGTTACATGACGTTAAAATTAGTGGTGTATCACAGTAAATGTTGGCATTTAAAGCAGAAGTGGAAATATAGGTTTCATATGTTCTTGGATTATAATTTCTATCATCACGAGACATCGGTCCCTCAACATCTAATTTTTTCTCCTTGGTTTAAGGTATCACAGATTCTTTGTTGTTATTAAAGAGTGAGTTTGCTTATTTATATGTCACTGTCCAATATTTAGGTTCTACCGGGAAGGCCTCTGTGATGGGATTACAGAATTTTGACCCTACACACAGGATAAAGGACAGAGACTACATGGGCTGGATGGATTTTGGACGTCGCAGTGCTGAAGAATATGAATACTCCTCTTAAAGATTGTCCACCTTTGCTTAAAATAAATGAAAATCAAGTCCTTGTACAGAAATATGTTTTTCTGTATAGAAAAATGTTGACATCCTTTACAAATTGGTGTTTAAAAAATATATGTATTTGATGTAAATTTGTCTGTAAAACTATACAATTATATTATATAAACATATGCAGAATTTTCAAGAAAAACATCTTTCTCCTTGAGTTTCTTACTATCCACTGTGGATACATTTAAAGTATCTCATTCATTTCTTGATAATTTTATCACTGCAAAAGAAATTGTTTGAAAATTAACACATGAACCATTTGTTAATCTGAGCAATTTATGCGTGAGATGAGAAAAATGATATCACCCATGGGTCAGATTCAGACACACTCAAAAGTAATACTGTTGTCATCAGTGAGACTTAAATTTGTCATGATCAACTGAATGGACTACAATGAGTCTCCTCTACCTATGACTAAATCTAGATTTGATTCTATTTGTCTAGATGTTAAAACTATAGAAGAGTCATTATGGCAGTGCATTTACAATTTAGTCAAATAATTTTCTAGCCATATTATGATCTCTGGTTATTTGATTTTGTGCAATAAATGTGAAAAATCTGCTAAAATCATTCATACTAGAATAAACAGAACATTCCCTGCTTTGTGGTGGCTGTACATTTGTTTTGCAATGCAAAATTACACTCACCTCTTTCTCTCCTCACCATCACATAATTAAGCATATGGATATGTTCCTATGACTAGAAAGGATTAGAATACTCTGTTTTAGATATGAAGATAATTTTACACTGGGAGCAATCCAGATGTAGAAGTGTTTTCTAGCTGGTTTGATCCAGTTCATGCAAACCAGTTGCTAGACTTTTTAAAAAAATATTCCAACTCTGCAGAGGAGGTGGACCAGCAGGAACATTGTCAACAGTAGTGGGAAAATGCTGGAAAGGGAGGATAGCACAATATTGGCAGTAGCACTGGGAAAATGCTGGGAAGAGTGGGATGAGGTGGCAGATTAGCACTAGAAAGATCAGAGCCAGACTATTGGGTAGATGCTGGAAAGATCAGGGGTGGGCCAAGTTCAAAGAGGACATTGATGAATCATTTGGTGCCTAATTTAGATCACTCACTGACTCACTCACTGACTCACTCACTGACTCACTCACTCACTCACTCACTCACTCACTCACTCTATCTATCTATCTATCTATCTATCTATCTATCTATCTATCTATCT